CCCCGAGCTCTTTCTAATGTATTCAGACGCGAGACACCCTGAATGGCGAACTGACCTAGCGTACCGGCGAGCAAATGCTAAAACGTCTCGACTGGTTGGCTTCTTGCCTGGACCTGCTCATCCTGCTCCGATGTAATGTCCATCAACCCCATCCCTACTCCGAGAACCATAATCCTGCAAGTACGGCCAGTTGCGTGGATGCTGTTGTCTTGAGCTCCGCTAACATGCTGAGTGTGTTCATCTATAATCTCAATTCCACTTACGTCGGCAACACCAGTCCAAGCTTGCCCTACTAGCTCGACCTGCAAGGCTTCAAACAACACATTGGCTTTGCTGTGCTCAGAAGAGTCGACGAGCGCTTCTTGGAGGTTTATCTCAGTTCTCCAGATCTTGACACGCTGGTCGTTTGCCACAGTGATAATCCATGCTGACCAGGTCGTTGAAGTACTCCTGAGACATACGATCTTCAGGGCGGTGACGGCGGCAGCGTGGGCGCTGGGGATAAGGATCGTTCGGAAACGGTGATCAATACCTTCCTTCTCAAGCTTCCCATCCTCGTGGTTAAGTGACGGTTTAGCAGAGGAGGTCAGCAGTGTTAGACCCAGTGCGTTATCGTCGCCGCCTGTTGCGATGAGACGACCTCCTGAGCCGACGGGCATGACGTCCATGGCTAGAATACTGCTCTGGTGCAGCTTGTGGACTTCCATACGCGGTAACACAGGCCACGAAGTTGCGCCAGAATGACTCAAATTATCCCGGCAATTGAGAAGGCTCAAATTCACGTACCCGTTTGTGCCCGCAGACAAGACACACGTCTGATTGGTGGCAGGCCCGGAAAGAGGCGGGAGGAAGAGAGCCTGCATCACGCAGAACGAACCATAGCTGATTTGCTGCAGTGTTTCGAACGTGCCTTTGCTTCGCATCGACGATGTAGTATATCGCAAGATCTTGCTCTTGCCGTTCGAATATGCCAGCACAAGTGTATACCTCTCGGGCTCGGCCCCGGCGTTCTCGAGCCGTAAATCGAACGCCATGATTCGAGCGTCTGAATCTTCTTCCTCGGTTGGCAGGACATCCCACAGGACGACTCCCAAGCTAATGCGTGGTACGTGCAAGCTGAGTTGCCACACATAGAATTCTTCACATCCGGCACTACTGAAGAGATAATGTCCTGATGGCGAGAATTGCAGATGCTGCAGGCCCGTGGTGTGCCTTTTCAGGGTTGCAAGGGACTGAAATTCGGGACTTACGTCTGCCTGGGGTTGGCCTGTCGCCAATGAGATAGTGGACGCTGGAGATTTAGCAATGGCGAAAAGTTGAATGTTAGTGTCCTCGGCTCCAGTAGCCACAAGGACTCGGTCTTCTTGCTCCTTGCCAGTCCCGACATACGGCAATGGGCTTCGTGCCACAGCCTTGATCTCGCGCCCATGGAATCCTCGCTGAATCAGTCCATGGCTAGAACCGTTGCTGTTATGCCAGTTGAATTTCCCCGCTTTGGTCCAGACAAAAGACTTCGCAGTATTACAGACAGCAGACGCAGACTCATCTCTGAAGGCCCAACTTCGATGAGGACCACCGCATTCGACCGACAGAAGTTCGGACTGCTGGGTTTCATTCCACACGATGAACGAGGTGGACCTGAAGCCGAATAGGATCAGATCCCTCCGTCGAAGCTGATGTGTAGAGATAGAGTCTTCTGAAGCGGCGAAGTAAGCTCCTTCAGTGTTTAGGCCGAATGGGGATGGTGAGAGGTGAACAATGAACATCTGTGGCTGGACTCCGCTGGCGAGCGACGGGCTCTCAAGTCGATGAAGGGCATAATTTCCGTCACGACCGGTTGTGAGTATATATATGGCCTCTATCCCTGTCCCCATGTCTGCATCGGGGCGCACAACAGAGATGGAACTAACACTCTCCGTGCCGTGGACGTGACGGAGGCAGTATGGTTCTTGAGACGTTGCAGACTCAGGGGTCACACCAGAGTATGCCGCAAGGGCACCAGCACGAGAACCGAGAAGTAATATTTCGCTCGTTTGGTCATAGTAGCATGCTGTGATCGTGAAAGTTTCCGGCATCCTCAGAGCTGTCTGGCTCGCCCAAATTGAATTTTCTTTCATGTTCAACCAAAGTATGACCGGCGTTTTGTCCGTCAAGACGGCGACAACGCAAGTCACCGGATCTCGACAACTAGAAAGCTGTTGCCCGGCAATTTTCAGCCACGAAATACCATGACTGAGGTTGCATGATATAGGCAACAGTGTCTCTTGGCCTTTTAGCAAAGCGTAAAGCCCACCTCTTTGGGAGGCAGCAAGGACGAAACCACTTTCCTCAGCAGAGCAGAGTGTCAAGCCACCCTTCACTGGAGCCCCCTGCAGTTGGCGCCATTGCAACTTCCCATCTCCAAAGGTTAGCCGGAAGAGATGTCCTTGATCCGTAATCGCCAGGCATTCCTGATGATTCAACAGCAGATAGTTCTTCAGTGCCAGGGATTTCGTGATGTCCTTAAAAGGGACAGCGATCGTGAGGGAACTCACATTGACGGTTTCGGGTGTGACGAATCTTCTGGATATGATTTGTCCGTCTGCGCCACCAGTATATACGAGAATACCGTGCTCGTCGTTTAGCTGGCACATAGACCAAGCATTCTTTCCGAAGTGAAGTCGGTCGCTAGCTGCTGGTCCAAGGCTGGCGGTTAGGCCAGTTTCGTCGTTAGGATCGGCTCTCAGCTCGGCAGTCCACATTTGGCAGGCGCCATCTTCACCCCTCGAGAGAAGCACGATGCTATGACCTGAGTTGTAAGTCCGTGTTGTCACGAACTCGACGTCCCAAATGCGGGAGAGATGGCCCCATGCGGATGCAATGTGAGTTTTGCTGGTGTGATTCACAGGCCCAAAGCCGGTCTCGGTCGAAATGATTTCACAATAACCTTCATTGTGGTCATTCCGGTCACAATCACTGATATCCCAGATTCTTACCGTGCGATCATCGGAGCAGCTCGCCAGCAGGCGCTTGTGGGTTCCCGCAAGATCGACCGCTTCCGAGATCGAGACTCCGAAAACAGAGCCTTTATGGCCCCGGAAGACGTGTCTCAGAGAGGGCACCCACTGTCGACCATCTTCACTCCTGCGGCAGGTCCAAACCAGGATCTCCCCAAACACAGTCCCGGATGCGACGATCACCAAATCAGGATTGGCAGTGGAAAGACATCCAGAGTAGAGGAAAGACTCCGGACCGTCAATGGTCCAAATCCTGTCCCGCCGAGGAGATTCTTCTACGGCGATACAGGAAACGGGTATTCCCAGCAGGCGATTGTGTGCAGTGAGCAGCAACACGAAACCGGGAAGAAAGGTCGCGCTCAAGATCCAGTCCGAGCAAGTCCGCTGCTCTGCCAGCCTGAGGCACAGAATGGTATGGAGCAAGTCGACTGCCAGTTTCTCAAGCGTCACGCTGCCAAGCCTCAGCAGAGCACCGCCCCAAACCACGAGGTCAAGTCGACGAAGCGCAGCTGGACTTGTCCCATTATCTAGCACCTTGACCCCAAGCACTGGCTGAATCTCAAAGATCCGCGTTGACGATACTCGGATATTATCGCCGTTGTAGATATGCAGATACGGGCCTTGGCCTGCCACTACCCACGCCGATCCATCAACCTGGATCGAGGCAAGAGCCGTGACTGGGAGACATGCGGCTCGCGACTGTGGTGGTTAGAAGAAGTTGTTTCACGGAGATGTGCACAAGCGCCGTACCTCTAAAATACATTCTGTCATTGAAATGCGCCGGGAAAAGTCAAATGGCCAGACAGGTCATTTGCAGGTGAAGAGCCACAGAATGAAGCTGGAATGAGATGTGCAACAAGACGTGAAATTTGTGAGCGAATGCACTACCGTTGTTCTGCTTCGTCGTAGCTTGCGCTAGGTGCGAAATGATCCGCCGTGGTCGTCATACAGACGGTGCGCCAAGACATTTCAACTGTATCAATACCGTACATGATGCCGCTAAGGGCGTCATACCTACCTTAGGTAGTACGCGGGCACGCGATCGAAACACGCTTATTATTTACATAGAGCTTTATACGGAGTAACCAATTATGTAGGATTTGTCAGGCGTCGCCGATTGAGCCACGACCGGGAAGTGAACATGTCACGTCATTTGGTCCTCCTGAAACGGTCATTTCGCGTTCATTTCACCGTGACTTTCACCGGGCCTCAAAAGGGCGGCAGACGAATAGAAAGCTCGAAAACGTGCATCAGGCTGGATGGCTTCTCACAACCGATTCCCTTTCCCGTCACAGTCAAGGCCCTCGGATCGACCAGCGCAACGCGCCATGACTGGCCCGCACTCGACACGACATTATATCGTCCTCTCAGATGAGGACGAGGATAAGGACGAGGTACCCGACAGGAGTCGACACCCAGGCGGTCGGAACCAACTGCCAGTCGAATGGAGACAGGCTGAAAAAGAAGGCCGGCTAGTCATACAGCTGGAGAGTGACAGCGACGAAGAAAATACTGTTCATCGGCCACAACAGGGACAGCAGGTTGCACCAACAGGAGCTCCACCAAGAGTTCCACGTCGCTTTAGACCAACAAATGCACCTTCAAGCCCTCCAGGAAGAGTTCCATTTCGCTTCCCGCCAACAATCACACCGGCAGGTCCTCCTCTAAGAGACCCGTTCAGCCTCCCCC